TCTACATTGTACTTTCAATGTTATTATGTAAGAATTACGGATCACCTTGCAATGTAGAGTAGAATTTGCGTCACGAGTAGGATTTTCATTTCGTATTTTCGTTGGTCGTTCGGAATCCTACTTAATCTTGTTTTTTTTTAATTTTTTATGTTCTTGTTTGTGTTAATTTTTTTATAATATTTATAATATTTCTTTAGTTGCCATTGTGATACTTGTTGATTTTACACAAACAATAATTTTCTTTATTATTATTATCATTGTTATACTTATGACTTTACATCATTTCTGAGAGACAGCATCGAATAGACATGCTGAAGGAATATCAACTATCCTGATGACAAGTGAAATTAATACTAGTCTTGATACAAGTCCTTGTTCAAGAAGCTGTGAGCTGAGAGTGTCCATCTTCCCTACATGTTATGTTGCAGCTATTCCTGTTCTTCCAGGCTGTTGTCATTCATACTATCATTGCATATCATACATTAATTATATAATTGTTTGTTTTTTTTAATAAAATAAAATCATACACTTGATAAAACAGTAACATGTAAAATCAATACCTTCTTTTAGCTGGAAACCTCCACTAAAGTATTGCAGTAGCAAGCATAGCTTGGTAAAAAATAAATTGCTTCTTCCAGAGCTGCAGATCTGAGCATGCGCGACCACACCCAAATTTTGGAGCACATGGCAAGCTTCTTTAATTAACAAAATGGCGGCATGCAGCTAAGATGGCTCGATCCAGCAGCCACAGTACCACTTTTTCCTTACTTGAAGAATGATCTGATGGGACATGGACCTGCGCATAGACTGTTGGAGTAGATTGGTGTAAGAATTATCCTTGTAGCACTAACTGATACTGAGATACACACCGACAACTGGATTGACAGGACTTCTTGATGATGATGATGATGAAGATGAAAAAAAGGTGGCTGAACAAAACGGCCGGTTCGCCGATTTTTGGCTTTTCTCTTAGACAGGGCCTAGAGCCATGCTATGGGTACCAATGGAGTCCTATGGTCAAGATAAGGTCCTCTAAGAAGTCTGGTAAGCATAGGAGCTCGTTTTCCCGGTATAGCAAGGCTGCAAAAGTCGTGGCAGCCATTTTGTTTGGGGGTGAATCCTACTTAGTAACGCTACCGCGTTACTAATAGTACAGGGACTTTGGCCCGATTTTGGAGCAACTTTAAAAATTCATAAAAAATCCAATTTTGATTGGAATCAGCTCAAACTTTCTATGCAACATAAGTACATGTATATGTATCAGGAAATATTATAAAAATGGAAAATTCTCACCTTTTCATTTTTGGCAAAATTTTGCCCGTGACCCTGTACTATAGTACAGGGACTTTTGTCTGATTTTGGAGTAACTTGAAAAATTCATAAAAAATCTAATTTTGATCGGAATCAGCTCAAACTTTCTATGCAACATAAGTACATGTATATGCATCAGAAAACGTTATAAAAATGGAAAATTATCACCTTTTCATTTTTGGCAAAATTTTGCCTGTGACCCTGTACTATAGTACAGGGACTTTTGTCCGATTTTGGAGCAACTTTAAAAATTTGTAAAAAATCCAATTTTGATCGGAATCAGCTCAAACTTCATACGCAACATAAGTACATGTATATGCATCAGGAAATGTAATAAAAATGGAGAATTCTCTACTTTTCGTTTTTGGCAAAATTTGGCCTGTGACCCTGTACTATAGTACAGGGACTTTTGTCCGATTTTGGAGCAACTTTAAAAGTTCGTAAAAAATTAATTTTGATCGGAATCAGCTCAAACTTTTTACATAACATAAGAACATGTACATGTAACAGAAAATGTAATAAAAATGGAGAATTCTCTACTTTTCGTTTTTGGCAAAATTTGGCCTGTGACCATGTACTATAGTACAGGGACTTTTGTCTGATTTTGGAGCAACTTTAAAAATTCGTAAAAAAATCCAATTTTGATCGGAATCAGCTTAAACTTTTTACACAACATAAGTACATGTATATGTATCAGAAAACATTATAAAAATGGAGAATTCTCACCTTTTCATTTTTGGTGAAATTTGGCCCGTGACCCTGTACTATAGTACAGGGACTTTTGTCCAATTTTGGAGCAACTTTAAAAATTCGTAAAAAATTCAATTTTGATCGGAATCAGCTCAAACTTTCTACACAACATAAGTACATGTATATGTATCAGAAAACATTATAAAAATGGAGAATTCTCACCTTTTCATTTTTGGCAAAATTTGGCCCGTGACCCTGTACTATAGTACAGGGACTTTTGTCCAATTTTGGAGGAAATTAACTGTTGAGCACTATACAAAAATGCTGTGGAAACCCTACATGTACATGTACACTTGCATGTAATTATGTTGTTATTATTATTATTGTGTTCATGTTTAATGTTGTTTTGTCAGTTATACTAAACTTGTGACACTGTTGTAAGTTGTTTGGGAGTTGTATGGATACAAAATCTGAACATGGTCACTTTATTTAAAATAAACACAACTTGTTTGTGTCTTGCTGTAACTTCATGATTGTTTATTTGAGCCTTACCGATGTCCCAAATACTTTTAATATATATATTTGTGGCATTTTCACTTTCTCACTCTTATCATGGTTGTTTAAATGTACATAATGTAATAATAATGTTAAACTTCTCTCTCTATCTTTTCTTTCAAAGGTTTTGGCCTGCAGAGATAAGGTCACGCATTAATAAAACCTATACTTATTTTGCTGGCGGTCTCGGAGTAACTGCAGCTGCTGCTTATACTGCCTCACGTTCGGAGTCATTCTTAAGATTCATGATCACAAGACCTCTAATGGTGAATGATTTACTTATTAATGTACAGTAGTACTACTAACCTTTCTTTCTTCTCTCTCTTTTTAGTCTGGTATTGTATTTCTGGTTGGTACTATTGGTTCAGCCATGATGTGTTACGGTATCCCTTACAAGCCAGAGACAATCCCAGTCAAGATTGCATCATACGCACTCTTCACTGGAATAATGGGAGCCACGTTAGCACCTATTGCTTTTATGGGAGGTACAAACGAGAGAGAGAGGGGGGGGCAAGGGAACCATGCCTTACTCCATTCATATTACATTTGCTTTTTGAAGGTCCACTGGTTGCTAGGGCTGCTCTATACACAGCTGGTGTTGTAGGAGGTCTGAGTGCTACAGCTGCTTGTGCTCCGAGTCAGAAATACCTGAGCATGAGTGGACCTCTTTCTCTTGGACTGGGTGTCGTGTTTGTAGCTTCCATTGGTAAGGGAATGTATTCTTTTTAATCCTTCCACCATCATGATGCATATACATGTAATCTGTTATAATATTTTATTTTCTTTTTCTCCTTCCACCAACATTATACATACACTGTACATGTAATTTATTATGACCTTTCATTTCTCTTTCTCTCTCTCTTTCTTTCAAAAGGTGGTTTATTTGCTACGCCAGGCACAGCTCTCTTCTCTGGTCTTCATGCCATCTATATGTATGGTGGCCTGGTCCTCTTTGGTGGCTTCCTACTCTACGATACACAGAAGATCATTCATCATGCTGAGAACATGCCTCACTATGATCCTGTCAACATGTCCATTGGAATATATCTTGATACTATTAATATATTTGTACGTATCCTGTATCTACTGTCAGGATCAAACAGGAAGAAATGAGATTAAACACTAAAGAACATAAACAAACAAGACTCATCTCTCTATATTGAATTTCACTGTATTATTATTATTATTATTATTATTATTATTATTATTAGTGTTATTATCAAGTGCTCTTGTCATTATGTAGCTTACTTCTCTCTCCCTCTCTTTTCCTATTTTGTTTCAAAGTGATTATTAAAATGAAGCTCATTACGTTGTAATTACCATTTGACCAAGAAGACTAAACTCCAGTTATGATCGATCATGCAACTTTAAATTGAAAGCAGCAACAACAATTCTCAGCAACTTACAGTTTCTCCCAAAGTAATAAACAATGGTTACATCATGTATGTGTGACGTACAAAACTTTGGGAGTGGCACACACTGAGGGGGCATGATGACAACATTATATTGGCAGGGATGAGTCCCTCTATAGAACAGGCCAGACAAGACACAAGGACATTACACAATTATATAATAAACACACAGTGAAACGCTATCCATGCATTTACAATTTAAAACCATCATTAAAAATAAATGGCAATAATGAAACAAAATTGAGGATATTCTTTCTATTTTTGAGAAGGCAACAACATGTAGAATATCCATAATGTAACATCTTTCAATTTCAGTTTCATAACATTTTTGTTTTATACACAAGCAGAAAGTTTACAACAACAACTACACAAGGCATGCATAAGCACCCACTACTAA